GGCCTGAAAGGCAGGGAGGAAAACGGCGGAGTTAGTGGGAATGCTCCTGGAAAAGGGAGCCCTGAGATAGGGGCTTCGGGGGTGGCTCCTCGGTGTGCTGATGGAGGCGCTTCCGAGGGGACCGAGAGTGAAGGTGCCCGAAACGGCCACAGGATCCCGCACAGAACGGCAAAAACCGCCTTCTCAATATGCACTTAATAAGAAAACATGTTTTCCAGTAAAGCAGTGGTGAGGTTAGTGTCCCCTAGACAGACAGATGAGATGAATCTTTTGTTTCACTTTGTATTGATAGGTGTCAGGTGTGAGCTAGGAAATAATGTTAGAAATCAAGAGGTGGAAAATGGAATTCTGTTCTGACACAAGTACAGAATATATATATATGTGTGTGGGTATATATATATATAGCATTTCAGGCTCCTTAATTTGAAGCATTTTCCTGCAGAAATGTTTAATAAAATGTGTATTTTGTAAATAATCTGATTCTGAGGAAAGCCAGCTTTTTTTTTGCATTTTTATTGCAATTTTATGAATGGAAAATGCAAAAATATCAGCTAATGTGTGTGAACTCAGTGCTCATATATACTGTGCAGTTTTTCCAACTTGTTCTGCAGGGTTATTTTACATAGCACACAAACATCTGCGCACCCACACAGCCCAACTGTAAAGAATTCAAGCTGTGCAAGGAACATATGGCTGGTTTTGCTTATCCTCTGCTCATTTTCCAGCCAAACTACTCCAGTAATCAGAATTCAGGTAATCCGTTGTGTATGTAAACAAGACTTGCGCTTTATTTCCTTTTAAAGCTGATCTGCCTAAGAAGGGGCAGCTTCCTCCCCCCACACTTTCTTGACATTTGCTCAACTAAATCTTAAGTTCTGGTACCTTGGAACTTAAGACATTTATATGGTACTTGCATTTAATGATTATATTTGAACTGGAGCATTGCACAAACTGTATTTTGGTATTTGGGAAGTAATACATGCAGAATCATCTCTTGCTTTGATAGATTTTAAAGTAATTTAACAGCCTATATTTTATATTTGTTAATTTGTGTGGTAGATTTCGCAGAATAAAAGGATACAACCTTGAGTAGGTTAGTAGGTTAGGTACATTTTATAAAACAAAAAATGACATGAAGAACTAAGGAGTGCTGATAAAAAATATGACCGGGATTTTAAGAGTATCCTAGCAGTTATTTGAGATAACATTTTTATTTGGAACTCTCTAGTTACCGATTCCAGGCGAGAAGTGACTAGCCAGCTGGCTGCAGACCCTCTGCCCTTAGATCTTGTGCTCTCCTAGAGCTGTAACTCCAGCTGTGCTCGAGAACGTAAGCAAAAGGTTTGTAGGTGGAGAGCCTCCTTCCAAAGATGCTGGTCAGTCAAAAAGGATGTTACTGTTATCCACAAACCTTCCCTTGCCTCGTATCTCCTTGTGTTGGGCTGTTGGGGTTTTAAGCCTGTTTGGGACCTGTCCGTGCCCTTCCGCCATGTGCGGGGCGGCGGATCCAGCCTCGTGCCGGTCGGGGCCGTGCCAGCCCCGTTCGTCAGCGCACGGCGCCGCGGCGCTCCCGCGAGCAGCAGGGCTGCCGGCTCGGAGCGGGAAGTGTCTGTGCTGCGTCCGGGGAGAGTTGTCCCTGCAGAGGAGGGGAAATAATTTGTGCCATGTGTGTCCGTACGACTGTGTCAGTGCACACATCACAGTCAAAGCAGAAGATCTCTCTGTAGCTTTACCACAAATGTACGCAGACCCTAAAGAGAGGCCCGCGAGCCGCTGGGACATACATCTTCAAGAAGTGCCCCTTTTTGGAGGAAATTTGGAGAAGTTTGTCTTTGACTTGACCTAATCTTTCGTGTTTGCCCGGCCAAGTTAGCAGTTCCTTTGTGCTGATGTTCTGTCTCGCCACGTATGGACTGCGAGCCTCCGAATGCCTCAGATGGGGCTTCCCAAACCCAGCTCGCTTTAGGGAACGTGCTGGGCAGCAGTGGAAGCAGCTCCTCGCCGTGGGGCCGCAGCAGTGCCCTGCTTTGGACTAGCCTCGTGCACACACCACGTGGGAGCCTCTGGCCGGGAAGTGCCTTCGCCCTTGGGATGCTTTGGAGAAGCACCGAGCGCGGGCTGGGATTCGGGCTTGCCCGGCAGCTCGCGGGGAGCGCGCGCAGCCTCCGAAGCAGCAGGGAGGCTGTTCCAGCCCTGTTCCAGCTGCACTTGCTTCTGTTCGGCGGTGTTTGCATAACGGATGAGATAAAATCAAAGGTCTGCTTCAAAAAATGTCTTAAAGATCGCAAAACATACACTGAACGAACATCCCTAAAGGTATTGCTGAGTGTAACATCACAGCCAGCTTCCCTTCTGAGCTGGTGGAATTGCTACTTTATATTTATGCTCACTTGGGAGATCTATAAATATATAAAAGAAAAAAAGGCCAGAATCAAGCAGCTGTATATCAGCCTTGCTAATCTGCAAATTCATTATTCAAACAGTGTCTAAAAATATTTGGTCCTTGCTGTAAGGAGAGGTTGATACCGTAGGAGGAGGAGAAGTGATTGTTAGTGGTGGTGACTTATTTGCACAGAAAAATGTGGATGCCTTATAGTTGCATCCAAGATTCCCCACTCAAAATAAGTTGTGTTTAGTGTGGCTGTTTAGCTTGATGTAAGCAGACAGATCAGAAAGGTAGTAAGTGTCCAGGTAATATTACTGGTTCAATCCTCCCAGACAGGAGGGGACTGGGAAACTCCTTTGTATCCAAATGAGCTTTGTAAATTTAGGCTTCTGGATGCTCTCTTCTTCCGTATCAGAGCAATAGTAAGTAGATATGAATTTGGATGCCCCAAAAAGGGCTTCTAAGCATATAAATGAAAGTGAGAAGTGACAGCCAAACAGAAAAATGTTTTAAAATTACTAGAAAGGAAATCCAGTATCATGTGGTTGGTGGTGGGAGAATAATTTTGCGATACTGTGACTGACCCCAGATGGAATTAGCAAATTCTGTTGTGTATGTGTGTTTTTAGGGTCGTTCAATAGAAGAAAGAGAAATTCCCTCTACGTAACTGTGACTCTCCTCATTGTGTCAGTATTAATTCTAACGGTGGGCCTAGCTGCTACAACAAGAACCCAAAATGTGACTGTTGGAGGTTATTACCCAGGGGTTATTGTAAGTATAGAACTCCTAGGTAGGTCTAGAAAACTTATTGCCTACAAAGTCCCTTGTAATGCTGCAAATGTTATAAAGGGTGATCGTGTTCTGAATATTAACATCTGCTCAGCTACTTCATTGCCATTTGATTTATTTGATTTATTGTTATTTTGCACCTGCTGCTCATTCCCATGCAAAACTCCCATTCAGTCAAGTGGCAGTTTCCTCTGAGCTTGGGTTATGCTAGCAGTGAGACAGATAAATTGGTTTTATGGCAGCCAAAACAACCTCAGAGCTGCTTTTCTTCCCCCCTCTACAAATCAGATTAAGCCTGGAAGTAAAGAGAAGAAAGACCATAGATGCCAAGAACAGTTGGGAACCCAGGTCTTGAAATACAGTCCATATGAATTTGTGGTCCTAAAGTTTACTTAGAAAAGCTTTTAATGGTTTGGGGTCTTCGAGGAGGACTGCGTTAATAAAAGCTTTGCAACTTGCTGGAGGAAACTGCATATCAAAGCTACTGGCACACCAATTTTTCTTAACAAGTGAAAATGGGAAAGGGAGAACTTGTAGCTTCAAGTGACTTCATTTGGAGAAGACAGCTGGTGCCCACCTCGCCGCATTGAACATACAACCTTCTGCAAAAGCGCTTGAAGAAGGTACCTGGTGCCTTTTCACCCTGCCCCAAACCAGTCTGCCCACTGCTGTGCTCTGCATTAGCAGGGACTAACAGCTGGACAGCGAGTCCTGCCTGCGGCGTCCTCAGAGGGCACCGGAGCGAGGACCGAGCCGGCCAGGGCAGCTGGTGTCCCTGCAGCCTGCAGGATAGAGGCCTCTGGTCTTGCAGGCTCCTGAGTGCGGTGTTGTGCACTTAGGCTTGAAGCCTGCAAATTGGAAGTTTAAAGGCAGTCCAAATTGTTAGACTGATTTCCTGTCTTACTGTTGTCTGATTTATTTACCGTGGTTTGCTGATCTCAAGGGGATTTGTAATTGTCTGTGGATAAGCTCTTCTATGACTGAAGATGGGCCCTTTACAGCCATTAGTTTTGAAACGTCATTATGGACTGTTTTGTCGCTGGCCAGAGGATTGCTGTTCTGGCTGGTTACAGTAGCTTCTGCACAGAGGCCTGTTTTTCTGTTGTTCTTGTTTTAAGAGAACTATAGAAAGGTGTTGAGAGGGGTAATGAGCTGTCTGCAATTCTCTGTTCTTATGCTATGCCTTGTCAGCCGAGGCTGAACCCCGTGCTGCAGAGCAGATCCCACAGACTGATGCAAATGGGCAGAACCTGTGTTCACATCCTCTTGACGTCTGCCAAACTGCTTATAGTCTGAGAACATCAGCATCGCTTATGGTTTGTAAGATGCAGAATCGGCTCGAGGAATTCATGAATTTGTGAACTCGGACTCATTTGTGTCGATTTGCTTTGCTCAGAGGCAGCCTGACTATTTGTGGTTGTAGACTTGTTACCAAAGTACTTCTGTTAGTTTGCTGTGTGAAAATCTGTGATAATCTGCCTCCCTGCACAGGGAAGCTTTTCAGTCTGCTGCTGGATGCTTCAGATGGCACTTAACTAAAACAGCTGTTTTTGTAACAAACTGGGATTTCTCCCTTTGCTGTGGAAAAAGTGCCTGCTGTAAGGCATAATAACTCAGTGAGTTGTGCCCGAACAGGTGACCTCCACAGCCCTGAAGAAATGACTCCATGCAGGTGTTAACACCCAAAGTTTGCATTAAAGTCAGGCCACCAGTGTTCTCTTGGCACCATTAGTGGCATGACTGTTAGTACCCCCACATTGGTAAAGAAAAGATGGTGCCAAAGTTCCGTTGTGAGCTGAGTGGGTTCTCCTTCATGGATTAGACCCACAGAACCGGATAGTCCCATGGAAGTTCTGTTGTTCTTGGAGAAGGGAGTTGTACTCCTGCTGTGCCATTCTGCATGTTAGTGTCTGTAGGATGATACAAAACCCTCCCTAGCTCACATTCTCCGAAGGGAATATTGTTCTCATGTGGTTCTCTAGGAGGGTGGGTAGTTCTCCTGAAGCCACACCAGTGTTGCCCCATGCAAGTTCTGCTCAGCGCCCCTCGGCCCAGTACACTCAGCGCTGGGTTCTCTGCACATCCGCACCCAGAGCTGTCGGGGCAGCGCTCTGTCCTGGCTCGAGCCACCAGCCCGTGTCAGGCTGGCTCGGTGTGGACCAGCCTGCGTGCGGTGCTGCACGGGCGCTGTCACTGTCACCGCGCTGCTGGCACGGGTCCCCCGGGACGCCGCCACCGACCCGCGCAGCTTCCTGCTGCTGCCGTGCCGAAAGCACCGTCCGTGCCTCCTGGGGCAAACACCCCGCAGGAACGGCACGCGAGGAGGAAACGGGCATGGAGAGGGGTGTCCATGCCGGGAGGCATCATGAACAGAAAACATTTAGCTATCTGATTTAGGATTGGATCTTGGAGACCTTTCCACACATCAGTGGGATTTTATTTATTTATTCACAAACAGTGCAGGGAGGCCTTCACCCCCTTTCCTGCTGCTGACACCTTCACAGCTACTTCTGTGGACACCTAAACTGAGTTTTCACAAGAAATAATGTGTTTATGGCTGGATAGATGACCTGAGCCTGCAACAGTGATGCTTTGCAGACAAGAAGTTAGGCACAAAGGTCAAGCAGCCCTATGGGAGTGAAGCTAACAGGCTGAATTAGTTTAAAAATCCTATCTTAAGTAATGACTCAAAAGTTCTTTCCTTTGGTTGTGAGTCTTTAAGAAAACATTCTTCAACACTTTTCCTCATAGCTTTGAGCTCCAGAAACTCTTTCTTGCTGTATATAATGGGCATAGAGCTTTCCAGCAGCTGCGCAGGTTATCAAATGCAGCAGCTCTGTGAAATGGAGCCGGATTCAAAAACGGGACAGGGCCTCTCTGGAGGCTGAAGGCAGAACAAGGCTCATAGGGAAGTCTCCTCTGCGGTGGCTTGTGAAAAAGGCTGTTCAGGAGGCAAATGTGCTGCCTCCAGGTTCCGCTTCCAGCATCAGGATAAATGACTGACCTTTCTTGGGCTTCATCCGGCAAAGCTCTTCTGTAATGATTCCTTATTAAACACAGGGCTTTACTGTAAATGCAAGGCTTTACTGTGGGAAAGCACATTGAGTTGTATCCTGCTCTTTTCAGATGAACATCTCAGGGGATCATCTCCATCAACAGATAAGTGATACAAGTGATGCAGATAATGAAGGTCCCATTGCCCCATCGGTGGAAAAACACGTGTTCTTCCCTTTCCTGCAGGATGACTCTGCTGGTGTGTTTAGTCTTTGCTTGTAGGATGTATAGCTTCACTCCAGTTTGTTCATTTACCTTAAATTATCTCAGCCTTTCACCTTTGCTCTGAGTCATCTTGTGGAACTTTCTGTAAATGGGTCGGATCAAGCTCAAAGAGCACAAATGGCTTTTCTTCGGTGTTTGCCATAGGTGAATGCGTCACCAAACATTTTTTCTGCTACTGAACGCCACCAGATCCATGTTGCTGTTAACGTCTGAATCTACCAAAGACCTTTCTAACTGTGACAGTTACAGAAGTACTTGTAGAACTTTCCTTTTGGTCTGTGTTTCCTGGTTAAAGTCTTTGTTTCTGGCCTTTCAGAGGTCTACTCTGTCTTAGAAGCATCTCCAGTATAACTAACAGTTTAAAGCTTTGGAGGTAGGGAATGGGAAACTGCACTCCTATTGGACTTCATTGAGCTGAAATAAAACCAGAATTGCCAATTACAGCAGCAAGGAAAAAGATGCTTTTGCTGAACTAGCTCATTCTATTCACTAGATTGGTGTAGGCTCTTCTGGTAAAAGATCCTGGAGTGTAGGACTTTCCCTCCCTGCAGATGAGGGGGAATGGAAGAAGCCAGTGATTGCTAAATCCTGTCCCATTAGGAAATTCTCTGTTGAGTTGAGCACTTACGTGGCTATCCGTGCCCTTGTTGTGGTTGCCAGGGGCTGGTCCTGCAAGCGCTGGTGATGTGGCACTGCCGGGTTCACATCCAGAGCCTTCTGAATGTGTATTGGGTTGTTCCAAAACAGCAACACACATTTTCATCCACCACCCATTTCTCAGCATTAAAGGGAAGGGGGAGTGAATTCAAGTTCATCCTTTTGTTTTTTACACATGCTTTTAGTGTCATAGAAGTGATACACTTGACAGCTCTAGCTAGTGAGAGACTCCACTGATTTCCTTGCAGAAGGAAGAGTGCTTACCCATTCACAATATGTTCTTTTGCTGCTTCTGGATTTAACTGTGTCTGTCTGCATGTGAAATATATTGGTTATCTTTCTGCTATAAATACTAACAGTGTGTTGTTTTTCAGCTTGGTTTTGGGTCATTTCTTGGAATAATTGGATCAAACTTGATAGAAAACAAGAGGCAAATGGTAAGTTTGTTAACTATATAGACTTTTTTTTTTTTTCAAATAAAGTGACCATAACTCAAAGAAATTTGGTTTATAAAGAATGGTTGTTCCTTTTCCTAATCCTTCCAGGCTCAGGTTGTGTATTTCTTGAGAACTAGAGATGGCAACCCAAAGAGATCAAAATTGCTAACCCTGGCATTTTTTAAGTTTTAAAAAACACTCACAGAGGTGCAAAGTGGCTGTACACAGTCTCATTGAACTCAGTGGGATCTCTCAGGGCTCAGATTCGAGTGTCTGGGTTTCTCAGGGTACTCGGGGCTTCCGACTCCTGCTGTTACAGGATGAGGTACATCCAGCAGTGGGCAGGCATGGGCCAGAGCCCGGCTGCTGCCTCCCTTTGCTCCAGAGCAGCCGCCTGGCTTTGTCACCCGCTCCGTGGGACCGCACAGAGCAGGTGGGAGCCGCGCTGCCGACGAGCTCCAGCTCAGCTCGTGCTGAGGGGAGATGGACAGGGCTGGTCCTGGCTACAGGCTCTTGCCATCACAGGACACGTCCTCTTTCTGCCCGTGCCCGAGCTTGGCAGCTGTGGTGCTTGGGGGTGCCAGTGACGGGGCTCAGCGCAGACCTAAGTCTTTTGGGGAAGAACTAATGCAAAAGCAGAGGTGTGGGCAGAGGGGTCAAAGGGAGCCGGTAGCTGGCGGTCGCTGCGGGCTGCGGAGCTCGGCCTTTCCTAGGCAGCCTCTGGTGCTCGGTGCGTGCAGCCGGCTGGAGGTGGAGCGGGGCCGGGCCGGGGGAGCTGCCTGGCTCCTTTCTCAGCGAGGCTCATCCTGGAACAGGGGCTGTCCCCACTGACTGCTCCTCCCCAGTGATTGCTCCATCTTCTGGTATCAAGATCCTTCAAGCCTTCCTGGTATGAAGGTTGCTTAGGGGCAAGGAGGGGGACCCTGCTGCAGCTGCCTGTCCCTGTGGCCTGTCTGGGTTGCCCAGCACTGCTACATGGTTTTGCAGTGACGGAAGCGTCCTCGTGGAGAGGCCTGCGGATCAAGTAGCAGGGTGTGCTGCCAACTGAGGCTAAGGCCAATGGACCAAGCTGCTGCAGAGGTGGTCTGGAGAAAATCCTGTTTCTGCTAAGCCAGAGACGGGGCAGTGCTGTGCTGCTTTGCCCTTTGCTTTTTAAATAATATGTTGCCCACAGAGCCAAGCGGTGGCAGGAGTGAGTGAGGCAGACCATGCAGGCGAGGAAGACTTCCCTTCCTGTGGTCAGACAGGGCCAGGGTAGGTGAGTTTCCTGATTTTTTTTTTCCTTGCTATGGAAGAGCAATATGTGTCACTTTTTTTTTCTGTCTTAGCAGGATTTCCCAGCCTCTTGCTCATCATGTATTAGCAGCATGACAGGGTCAGACTGAGAAGCAATCATATTATACCAGTCCTGCATTCCTCACAGGTCTGCTCGTAGATGACAGTGATTCAGACTTGGCTTGTTTGTTGTTTTCTAAAAGGCCCTGGGCAGCCCGAGTTCCGTCTTCTCCTCCGGGTGTCACTTTGTGCCCCTTGGTGCGGGATGCGGGAGCAGCTCTGCGCGGTCGTGCCGCAGCCGGCTGGGTTTGCAGGGCAGCACGGCCGTGCGCTGACGGCCGGGAGGGCATCGAGCAGCCGTCGCGCGTCGTCCCCTTCCCTTCGTCGTGTCTGCCTCTTACCCGGGAGGTGTTTTACAGAGGCCTTTTTTACTCCGTTACGTGTTTCTATGCCTCCACTGGCAGTGCAGGATTTTATTTTTTAATCTCTGCGAGATTCCCTGTGTGCTAGTTTAGTAAAAGTCAGTCTGGGTGTTGCTTATTACTCAGAGAGCCCTTGGTGGTGGCAGGCAGAGCCGAAGGCAGCTTGTGCAGCTGTGTTCTCCTTTTCCCCATTAGCTGGCTGGGAAACATGAGGAATCGAGCCTTCCAATTTGGCTGAAGGGCAAACGAACCTGAACCAGCACCTCCTAATTCTCTCCGCCTGCTGACAGGAACAGACCTCCTTAGTTCTTCTCACCGCGGCGTGTTGGCTCTCACGCCGTGTGCCTGCGCTTCCCGCCCGTCAGAGCGAGGGAACGCTTTCCGCGGAGCTTGTTCCTGCGGAGGCGCTGGCTGCCCGCGCGGACACCCCGGCCTGCACGCCAGCGTCGCGGCGATGCGGTTCACACGGCAGCTCCGTGCTCAGCGGTTTGCAAGTGGCAAGTCAGCGTTTTGCACGGCTCCCTGTAGTCATCCCTGCCGTGGAAAAGTAATTACCAGCAGCTTCACGGCCCACGTAGTGCTGGAGTGCAGCCCAAAGAGAGCCTCTCACTAGAGCACTCCTGTTTCATGGTTCCTGTTATCCAAAACCAGCTGCTTTTTGTGTCTGAATTCTGTGCTGAGTAACTGATTTTCGTGGGAATTACCTGCATTAAGACAAACAGCTGATATTTCATTGCTCTTAAAAGGGACTTGTGCTCGTAACAACAGTCTTGTCGACTTCAAATCAAAAATTGTGTTGGCAAATCATGAGACTAGTTTTTTAAAAAATGAGGTTTTAAAATGCATTTTAATTTTGTCTTCTGATTTTAATTTGTTTTCTGTTTTTCTTTTGTGTCTCAAATTTTCAGTGTTTTATTTTCAGGCTCCTTTTTTTGCTCTCCTTCCTTTCTTGCAGCTAACCGTGAGAAAATCTCATTTATGGAAAGTGGATAAACTCATTTCTCACACCTGATCCTTAGTCGCTAGCGTGTGTGGGGCTGTTAAGAAAGTATCGTCATTAACTTCGTATCTTCTTTAACAATCATATCAGCAGCTCCTGTGTGCAAAGGGGTAAACAACTAACCTGGTGAATATCCTTGGTGCTTGGGTCACTTCCCAAGTGACACCTCCAGGAGTCATGCTGTTTAGGGAGAATATCCATGTTCATACATATGTGAGTCAGAGAAGTATGGAGAAAAGCTGAAATTCATACCGAATAACCTTGGCCATAAAAGCCTTTTCTTCCCCAGGGAAGTAAGAAGTTGTGCTTTCTTCCATTTTGTGGTTTCCTGGTTATGGCTGTGACTCGGTGTAATGGAGTAATTGAAAGTGCAGTTTGTGTTCCAGACACAGGCGCAAAATGGGTCTGAGCGGGGAGGAGAGGCTCGTGTTGACAGCTGATAGAAACAGCGGGTTCCCGGCACAGGACCTGATACTTTGCAATAGCAGCTTGTTGCTAGTGACAGTAACTTGTTTGTAAGCCCATGGGATTAATTTTACAATCTGCTCTGTCTACTGCTGCAGTTCTTATTTGCAGTGGGAGTCTTGCATAATTAGCTTCATCTAGAAAACTACTTTATTTTCTCTCTCTCTTTTTTTTTTTCCGAAGCTAATGGAAATGAGTGGTTGTCCGGGAGGGCTGGCGCTGGCGCGGGCGGGCTGTGGGGCCGGCGCTGCTGCTGTCGCGCTGGGATTACCTTCACTCTAAAATTCCCCTCTCTCTAGAATTTCCCTCTGATCTTTTATCATTCAGATGTGCAGTAGCCCCTTGCCTGGCTGCAGGTCCCACCTCTGCCCGTGTCCTGCTGCACGGGTTTTGATGCCGC